CTAGGTGTTTTTCTTTATTTATTTTCTATCTTTATTGTTGTCTTTTTTAGTCCTTTGTCTACGGTTTGTATGTGTTGTTTGGTGTGTTTTATGTTAGTTCATTTCTATTTTATCTTTCTTTTCTTAGTCTGTCTTTTGTCTGAGATTTGTATGTGTGTTGTTTGGTGAGTTTTCATTCTTTGTCTTTTTGTAATTTGTCTTTGTCTTTTGGAGTTTGTGTTTGTCTGTATTTTTTCATTCGTCTTTTTGTCTTTTTCTTAGTTCGTGTTTTGTGTCTGTTTCTGTCTTTCTACATTTGTCTTTTCTCTCTTGGTTCTGTCTGGCTGTGTTTTCTTTCTAGCATCAGTCTTTCTCTCTCCTCATTGTTCGCTCTTTTTTTTCTCTCTCTATTCTCTCTTCTTTTTTCTCTTTTTCTCTGTCCCTACTTCTCTCATTTTTCTCCTTCTTCCTTCTCTCTCACTCTCCTCTCCCCCTCTCTCTCCTCTCCTCTCCCCCCTCTCTCTCTCCTCTCCGCCTCTCTCTCCTCTCCTCTCCTCTCTCTCCTCTCCCTCTCTCTCTCTCTCTCTCCTCTCTCTCCTCTCCCCCTCTCTCTCCTCTCTCTCTCTCCTCTCCTCTCCTCTCTCCTCTCCTCTCTCCTCTCTCTCCTCTCCTCTCTCTCCTCTCCTCCCTCTCTCTCCTCTCCTCTCCTCTCTCCTCTCCTTCTCCCTCTCTTTCCCTCCTCTCCTTCGCCCTCTCTCTCCCTCTTTCCCTCTTTATTTCTCTTTCTCTTTTTCCCTCTTCTCTCTCTCTCTCGTCTCTTTTTTCTCTCAATTTATTGTATTATTTACATTTAACAGTTGAAATTAACAACGTCAGTAGTTTAATTAATTCCAAAATTCTCCACTCAACTAAAAACTTATTAGCAAATATTCAGGATCATATTTTTACCACATAATTCATGTCCTCTCTTCTCTCCTCTTCCTTATTCCCCTTTCGTACTCTCTCCCTCTTTCTCTGCTCCCCTCTACCTCTCTACCTCTTTCCCGTGCCATGCATGTCATGTCTCTTCCTCTGCCCAATCTCCCTTTTTTACTCCCCTCCTCCCTTCCTGTCCCTTCTCCTCCCCCTCCTCCCTCCTCCCTCCTCCCTCTTCCTTTTCCTTTTCCTTTTCCTCTTTCTTCCTCTATTCTCCCCCTTTCCTATCTCTTTCCCCTCGCTCCCATTCTTCCCTCCTCCTCCCTATCTCATCTCTTCTCTTCTCGTCCTCCCATCCCTGCTTCTCTTTTCCCTCTTCCTCCTATCTCGCCTCTCCCTGTCCATCCCCTCTCCCCACTCACGTCTTCTCCTTCCCTGCCCTTTCTTCACTCCCTTCTCCCTTCTCCCTGTCCTCCCCCTCCCCCACTCCTTTCTCCCTGGTCCCCTCCCTTCTCCCTATCCCTTTCTCTCACTCCTCCCATCCCGGCTTCCTTGTCCTCTCCCTTCTGTCCTGTCCCCTCCCCCGCTCCTTTTTTTCCTGTCCCCTCCCGCCCACATCCCTTCTCTGTTCTCCCCTGCCCCCCCCCCTCCTTTCTCCCTTCTCCCTCCTCCCTGCCTCTCTGTCCCCTTCCTTCTTCTGTCCCCCTCTCCCTCCTTCTCCTGCCCCCTCTCTTTTCTCCTCCTCCCTGTCCCCCCCCCACTCCTTTCTCCCTTCTCCCCCTCCCCAGCACTCCTCACTTCTCCACTCCACTCCTCTCCCTTCTCCACTCCCCCACTCCTTTCTCCCTTCTCCCTGTCCCCTCCCCCCACTCCTTTCTCCTCCCCCTCCCCCACTCCTTTCTCCTTCTCCCTGTCCCCCTCTCTTTTCTCCTTCTGTTTGTCCCCTCCCACAACTCCTTTCTCCCTTCTCCTCCCTCTCCCTCGTTCCTTCTCCTGTCCCTCTCCCCTTCCTTCTTCCTGTCCCCTCCCCTCTTCCCCTTCTCCATCCCTCCGCCCACTCCTTTCTCCCTTCTCCCCCCCTCCCCCCTCCTTTCCCTCCCGAAGGCGTGGGCGAGTTCCATGCGCGACCTGGCCACACCGTCGAGAAGATCCTGTCGTCCGGAGGGCCTGGCCAAAGGAGCGCCGCCCGTCCGACCTCTCGTACATGGGCGTCTCCTCCGCCCTCGGGGAGATGCTGCTGCAGCACGGGGAGTTCCCTGCCACGCCCCTCTCACGCCCACGCCGAGGTGAGGGCCTTCGAGAGGGTGGGTTTGGTGCTGGGGCTTCATTGGGTTCTCTTGGGACAGCTCTGGTGTGTACTGGGATGGTTTGAATCGCTCTGTCTGTCTCTGTCTCTGTCTCTGTCTCTCTCTGTCTCTGTTCTTTCTCTTTCTCTTTCTCTTTCTCTTTCTCTTTCTCTTTCTCTTTCCTCTTTCCTCTTCCCTTATCTCTTTCTCTTCTCTTTCTCCGTTTCTCTGTCTGTCTGTCTGTCTGTCTGTCTGTCTGCTGACACTGTCTTTCTGTCTGTCTGTCTGTCTGTCTGTCTATAGCCGTGCTGTCTGTCTGATCTGTCCTGTCTGTCTCTGAGTACTGTCGTTGCTCTGTCAAATTTCTCTCTCCTGCTCCTGTCGCATATCCTCTCTATTCCTGAGGCGACATTCTGATCGTCGTGTCTCTCTCATCTACTATCTCCTTACTCAGTCGATCATCTCATTCCGCGCGCGGGGTGTATAACCTCTTTCTCAGTCTTCCTCAGTTCAGGTCGCGGTCTCTCTCTCTATTTACCCTCTCTCACCGTCTTTCCCTCTCTCTCCGGATCTCTACGCTTCTCGGCGGCGAGCTCTGACTCGGGTGACTGCGTGCGTTTAGTTGCCATGTTATTGTATCTCTGTGCGGATTGACTCTCTCTCTCTCATCTCGTTCTCTATCTCTATCTCTATCTCTATGTCTTGCGTGAGCCGGCGCGAGCGCGAGTATTCTCTCTCTACTCTCATCTCTCTAGCGTCGTCGCGTCAGCGAGGGACTCCTTCGCTTCCTGTTCCCTCTCTTGTGCGTCCTTCTCTCTCTCTCTTCGGTCTCTTCTCTCTCTCTCCTCGCTTTTCTCTCATCTCTCTCGTCTCCTCTTTCTCCTCTCCGCTCTCTCTCATCTCTCCTCTCCTCACCCGTCTCTCTATTCTTTCTCTCTCCGATCATCCTCTCTCCCATCTCTCCTCTCTCTCGTTCTCTCATCTCTCATCTCTCTCTCCTCTCTCTCTCTCTTCTTCTCTCTCTTCCTCACTCTCTCGTCTCTCTCTACTCTCGTTCGCTTCTCTCTCTCTCTCTCATCTCTCTCTCTTCGCCTCTTCTCTCCTTCTCTCTCTCTCCATCGCTCTCTCTCTTCCATCTGCTTCACACCTCCCCGACTCTCTACTCGGATCCTCTTCAAGCGTCGTCGTCAGCGACTCCATCGTCGATTTCTCTGTCCCCACGCCATCATCTCTCCATCTTTCTCGCTCTCTTCTGATCTCTCTCCATGCTCCGTGCGTTCACTCTCTCTCATCTGTCTCTCGATCCTCTCTCAGGGGAAAACAGAGAGAGGGAGTTTGTGACCAGATGACTTTAGTGTAAATCATCAGTAAATAGTTTTAAAGCGATTAAAGTGTTGTTGGACTAGACTGGGAATGCCGGCTCCCGCTCACCACCCCCTCTCCCGCTCCCCCTCCACCCTCCTTTCATCCCTCCGCATAGCCTTCTCCCCCCACCTTCCCCACCCCATCAATCTCCCTCCTCCTATCACCCTCCCGTGCCCCACTCCACCACCCCTCTCATCTCTCCCTCCCCCTCCCTCTCAACCCTCTCCTCCCCCTTCCCCCCCCTCCTCACTCACACAGGAGCCCGACCCCACTCTGTGCACCCTCCCCCACTCACCCACCCTTGTTCCCCGCCCACTGCCCACGCTCCACCCTCCTTCTCTCCTGCAGGTACCGAGCAACCGCCCCTGGACAGCAGGAGCATGCCCCTTCCCTTCAAGGGCATCGGACTCCAAGACGGGGGCACAATGTTGCCTTCGCAGCTCCTCCATGCGGCCCTCGTTCGTTGGGCAGAGTAAGGTAATGGAAGGGAAGGGGAAGGGAAGGGGAAAGGGAAGGGAGGGAGGGAGGGAGGGTGGGGGAGGCGACGCCACGGGGAGGTGGTGGGGAGGAAGGAAAAGGGGACGGGAAGGGAGAAGAGGAGGGAAGAAAGGGTGGTGGGGAGGAAGGGAAGGGGACAGGGAGGAGAAGGAGAGGAGGGAGGTGGGGGAGGTTTGGGCAGGGAGGGTAAGTGGGGAGAGAGGAAGGGACGGGAGGGAAGAATGGGAGGAAGGGAAGGGGACGGGGAGGGGAGGGAAGAGAGGAATGGTAGGGGGAAAGGGAGGAAGGGAGGCTGGGGAGAGAGGGAGGGAAAGGGGAAGGGACGGGGGAGAGAGAGAGGGAGGTAGGTGGGGAGGGAAGTGAGGAAAGGGGCGGGGAGGGAGGGAGGGACGGGATGGTGGGGAGGGAAGGGAGGGAGAGAGGAGAGCGGGGAGGGAAGGGGAGGAAGGAGGGTGACTGTAAAACAATTTATTAATGATTACTTAGCATATAAATCAAAATTGGATGTATGTTGATAAATCGTATACTCATATTCGCACATATATGTACTACTACATTCAGGAGACTATTCGTGCTAAAAATATTTGCAAACTGATTCAATTCAATCTAATTCTGCTGAGGTTCACAAGCAATACTTATTTTTCAGACCTTGCAACTGACAACACTCTACCGCCCCCCTCCTCTTCTTCCCATCCATTCTTTTTCCTCCCCTCCCCTCCCTTCTTATCTCTCCCCTCTCCTTCCGGTTCTTTTTCTCCTATCCCTCTCCTTCGCCCATTCTTGCTCTTCCTCGCTCCACCTTCTCCCCTCTCTCAACCTATCCTCTCTCTCTCCTTTACCCCCGCCTCCCCTCACCTCCCCCTCCGCACTTCCTTTCTCTCATTCCCTCTTTCCATCTCCCTCACTCTCTCCCCTTCCTTCTCCCTCACCGTTCTTTAACGAAACATATCCTTCCCTCCGTTCTTCCTCCTCCTCTCCCCCTCCTATCCCTCCCCCTCCTCCTCCTCCCTCCGTTCCTCCTCCCTCCTCCTCGCTCCTCCTCCTCCTCCTACCTCCTCCCTCCTCCCTTTCCTGTCCCCCTTCCTTCCCCTTCCACCCTCCCTCCTTCCCTCCCCCCGCCCCTCCCTCCCCTCCCCTCTCCCTCGCCTCCCCTGCCTCCTCCTCCCACACGCTTTCCCTCCTCCTCCTCCCTCCCTCCTCCTTTCCTCTCTCCTCCTCCTCCTCTTTCCCTCTCCTATCTTCCTCCCTCCTCTTCCTTCCTCTCTTCCCCTCCTCCTCCTCCTCCTCCTCCTCCCTTCCTCCATCCTCTTTTCCGTTTCCTTTCCGCCTTCCTTCTGTCGTCCCTTACCAATCCCTCCCTAACTTCCCTCCCCCTCTGCCTCGCTCTCCGTCCTCCTCCCTTTGACCACCTCTCCTCCTCCTCCTCCCCCTCCTACCGGCCCCTCTTCGTGCCTCCTCACACTCCTGGCCTCCCTCCCTCCGCCCCCTCCTCACCCTCTCGTCTCCGCCTTCCCTCCCCTTCCCTCCAGCCGCAACACACCGCTGACGCTAGACCTTCGGCCTGAGGAACGCCGCTGGAGCAGAGTTCAGCCCCAGCTCTTCCGCTCCTTCATGATGAACACGCCGAATACGGGCGCAGCCCGAGAACCGTGCAGGGACCACGCCCAAGTTCAAATCTGACGGGGCTGCAGCAGGTTGAGGCAGGGGGGGGGAGAGTAGGGGGGAGGGGGGACGTCGGGCGAGGGGGAAGTAGAAGGGCGGAGGAGAAACGAGAGAGGAAAGGGGGAGGAGAGGCGAGGAGGGGGGAGTAGGGGATGGATACGAGAGTAGAAGGGGAGGAAGAGGAGTAGGGGGAGAGAGGGGAAGAGGAGGGAAGAGAGAAGAAGGGAGTGGAGAGGAAGAGAATGGGGAAGATGAGAAAAGGAAGGTGAGAGAGGAGAGATCAAGGAAAAAGGATGGACGCCACGCCAAGTTCAATTTTCTGACGGGGGGCTGGCAGGCAGGTGGAGGCAGGTGGGGGCGATGAGGTAAGGGATGAGGGAGGGAGAGAGGAGGGAGAGTAGGGGGGAGGGGTAAGGAGGGGAGAGTGGGGTGAGAAGGGAGAGAGTGGGAGAAGGGGACGGAGGAGAGATAAGGGATACGGACCCACACCCAAGTTCAATCTGACGGGGCTGCCATCAGTGAGGCAGGGGGGATGAGAGGGGGGGAGGGGGAAGGGAGAGGAGAGAGGAAGAGGAGGGAGGGTAGGGAAGTGAGAGAAGGGGGAGGTGGGAGAAGTGGGAGGAGGGGGGAGAGGTGGATGGAGTAAGGAAGAGGAGGAGGGGGGAGGTAGGAGAGAGAGGAGAAGGGAGGAGAGAAAAAAAAGTTCAACACTGACGGGCGTTGTTGTAGCAGCTGAAGAGGAAGTTTAGAGGTAGGAAGCGTGGAGGGTGAGGAGAAGAAAGGAAGAGGAGGGAGAAGAGGAGAAAAAAGTTGCAGCAGATAGGAAAGTGGGGGGGAAAGTGTGGAGGGAGGGGGGTAAGGAAGGAAATTGGAAGGGAGGAGAGAGGAGACGAGGAAAAGGAGGCGAAGAGGAGAAAGGGGAGATAACTACTATCCCGGTCTTCAATACATTAGCAGCTTGTTTCCTTCCTAATTTGGTAAACCAAAGTATTATTTTTCCAATTTTTTAGTTTTCCCACCCTTCCATTTTTCGCTTTTCACTTGTCACTGACCAAACTTAATTTTACTGTAAGTTAAAGGGAGCATGGAAAATATATTATTATTTTTTTCTAATGCTTCATGAAAATATTTGTTTTAGATCCAGATTAATGTTATAAATGATATAAACACTAAATATAAATATTTTTTAAGAAGGTAATTGTATTGCTTCATAATTTCGACAATGAGTATATAATTTTTTTTTTTTTTTTTTCTTTTTTTTTCTTTGTTTTCTTTTCTATTAATCCATGTCATATTGAATTGTTCTCTGTTTGACTATTTTTTTTGTTCTCTTATATTTTATATGCTCGTTCTTATCTCTTCCTTTCACTTCCTCCCTCTCCCTTCCTTCTTCTTCTTTCTTCTTCCTTCCCTACCCATCTCTTCCTCATTCCTTTTTCTCCCCGCATCTAGTCCTTCCTCCCTTTCGCCTTTCCTCTCCACCTCTTACTACCTTCTTCTTCCTTCCTCCTATTCCTTTCTTTCTTCCCTCCTCCACCTCTTTGTCCTCGTCCTCTTCTCCCCCCTTCCTCCTTCCCTCCCTCCTTCCCTCCTTCCCTTCCCCTTCCCTCCCTTCCCTTCCTTCCTTCCTTCCTTCCTTCCTTCCCCTATCCTTCCTTCCTTCCTTCCTTCTTTCCTTCCTTCCTTCCTTCTTTCCTTACCTTTGCCTCACCCCCCCCTTCCTCCCTCTCCAGCTTCCCACAGTCCACCTTGACCTCCCTCCCCTCGGTGGTATCCTGGCGTGCTGGCGAGGGGGAGGGGCGTTGGTTCAGCTTCTCTCCGGTTTGGCTCCTGGTCGCATGGCTCCGCCTCTAACTCCGCCTCCGCCTCTAGCTCCTCCCACTTCTACTCGCCGATCGCCAGTGAGGACTCGTACCCTCGGCCAGTGCACGACGAGCCGCCGCTCAAGGCCAGAAGGTGATCTGGTTTCCCCTTGTTTTGTTGTATGTTTTGCTGTTGGTTGGTTTAGGGTCTTCTTTGTGTGATGATATTGTGGTTATGGAGATTTGTTTGTTTGTTTGTTTGTTTGTTTACTTGGTTTATTGTAGGCCCTTTTTTTGAGTTTCGATAATTGTGGTGATAAGAAATGAGAACCAATGACATGTATAATAATAATTAGGCCTATATATGCAAGTACATTGGGAATGTGCGTGGTGTGTGTGTGTGTGTGTGTGTGTGTGTGTGGTTGTGTGTACCCCGTGTGTGTGTGTGTGTGTGCGTGTGTACCCGTGTGTGTGTGGTGTGTGTGTGTGTGTGTGTGTACCCGTGTGTGTGTGTGGTGTGTGTGTGTGTGTGTGTGTGTGTGTGTTGTGTGTACCCGTGTGTGTGTGTGTGTGTGTGTACGGCGTGTGTTGTGCGCGTATGTGTGTTTTTTATAAATACAATAAAAATCTTAAACCTGCTTTCCTTACACAGATCCGAACCACGCCCAAATCCTTACAATGACTCACGGCCGCCCATCCCTGCCGCCCACTCGAACCTTTCGAACGTCCACCCCGCCCAACCCACCGCCCACTTCCCGCCCACCGCCCACCCGACTGCACATGCCGCCCACCAGATGCCATATGCGCCTAAAGTGTGTGGATTTAGATAGCTTTTTGTCAGTGTGGAAAGACAGATGAACAGAAAGTTTATATAATGAGAGAGCAAATATCAGATATTGATGATGATTTTAGATAATTTTGAATTTGCATATATTATGCTTTCTCTCCCTCTCCCCTCCCTCCCCCTCCTCTTTATTGCTCTCTCTCTTCCTCCCCCTCCCTCCTCTCCCTTATCCTTCTCTCTCCTCCTTCCTCCTCCTCCCTCTCCCTCCTTCTCCCTCTTCCTTCTCTCCTTCCTATTTCTCCCCTTCCTCTACTTCTTCCCTCTTACATCCCTCCCCCTTCCATCCCTTCCTCCTTCCTCCCTCCCTCCCCCCTCTTTCTCCACCTCCCACATAATCAAACATCATAATCTCACACCCTCCCTCCTCCTCTCTTCTCCCCTCCCTCCTCCTCCTTCTCCCTCCCTCCCTCTCCCTCTCTCCTCCTTCTCCTCCTCCTCCCTCCTCCCTCCCTCTCTCCTCCCCCTCCCTCCCTCCCTCCTCCTCCCTCCCTCCCTCCCCTCTTCCCTCCCTCCCTCCTCTCTCTCCCCCTCCCTCCCTCCTCCATCTCTCCTCTCCCCCTCCCTCTCTCTCTCCCCCTCCCTCTCCCTCCCTCCCCCCTCCCTTCCTCCTCCTCTCCCCCTCCTCTTTCTCCCCCCCCTCCCTCTCTCTCCTCCCCCCTCCCTCCTCTCTCTCCCCTCCTCCTCCCTCTCCTCCCCCTCCCTCCTCCCTCTCCTCTCCCCCTCCCTCCCTTCCTCTCCCTCTCCCCCTCCCTCCTCTCTCTCCCCCTCCCTCTCCTCCCTCTCCCCCTCCCTCCTCCCCACCCAACAGGAGAGCGTGGGCGTGGGCGTGGGAGGCCTGTCCCCCCGGAAGGCTCTGATTCAGGACGTGGTGCTGAAGGAGTCGACCCGCGCCTTCAGGTCCCACCCGCTCTTCCCGCTCCCTGAAGGACCTCTCCGTCGCTCGACTACTACTTCGATAGGCTGCCTTCAATATCGGTATTCTTTTTTTTTCTCGAACCGTCAAAGGGTTTGGTTGGTGATAGTGCTTGTTGTTTTCGTGTTTTGTTTGAATCATCTGTTTATTTTATTTATTATTTATTTGTTATTTGTTATTTTTTACTTTGTTCCGTTTCTTTTCGTGTTTGTATTGAATGTTTTTTTTTCGTTTTTTTGGCATTACGTTCAACAAATTGTCTCGTATCTTAGACCTAGTGTGCGAATTAAATATAAGACACATTGTATGCCACTTAAGGGTCATTAATCTGTAATTAACCAACATCGACTAATTACCACGTATTTTCTAACATCCATTTAACATTTCCCAGGCCATTACTCTCCTACTTACCCACGTCGACTGAGGACCTCGTCTCGCGTACCTGGAACCCGGACGTGGCGCAATCTTACTGTGGCCACCAGACGTCTTCTCTCACAGTCCTGCCGTCGACGCCGTGCTCCTGGATGCCATCGCGTACGCCCATTCTTGTCTGCTAGGTGGGTGGGCGTGGTTTGGAATGAATGAGGTTGTTTTTTTTATTATTATTGGGGAAGGGGAGGGATTTTGTATATTTTCTGGGATGTTTATTTCGGTGGCCCTCTGGCGGTGATGGGATGAAGCTTCCGAGCATGATTGGTTGATTTGACTGCCCTCTAGCGGCACTGCGACGAATTTGTGAAGTAGATTTTCTTAGGATTATCTTTCCGAAATACAAAAAGAACACTTTCAACTTTCCTTGGACACACCTCTCTTTATTTGTCTCACACACTTACGGCCGTTTGTTAAAATTGTGCCTGGCCCGACCCAATGAATTTTCATAAATACAAACGCAGAAATAAAGGCCTATCTGTGTATATATCTGATAATTGTACATTTAACTATCTATTTGCCCGGTTCATATGCATGTCTAGACTGATAAATATGCATTTGTTCCTTTATTTATGCATGTCAAGCACACGAATATTCTTTGGGTCGGGCCAGGCACATTTCTGACAAACCGGCCGAATATCAATTAATACATAACAGACGCACAAATACCGCATACCAAAATCAATCCCAGTTATATGTTGATTACAGCAAACCCACCAAAATTGGACGCACACACCAAATACCAATACCAAATTCGCTCCCCCTGAAAAAAAGAAAATACTGCAAATCCCACCCTTACCTCATACTACATACCACATATTACATTTACTATATACCACACTACATACCACATACTACATACTATATACCACATAAACCTAAATACCACATATTACATACTACAAACCACATAACACCCACATATACATATACTACATAACACATACTACATACCCACATACTACAATATACCACTAACTACATACCATATACTACATAACAACTTACTAACAAAACACATACTACATATACTACATAACACATACTAACATAAACACCACACCACATATACACTACATACCAACTTCACCCCAAGAACTAAAAAAAAAAATTTGATCCACCAGAAAAAGTCTCGACGCAGGCGGCCCAGCCAGCGGCGACCGTGGAGGCCGAGGCAGCGGACACCGAGGCAGCGGTGGAGGAGATGTGCCAGCGGTACATGGAGGTGATTCGCGTCGTCGACGCCGCTGCACCCTGCTCCAGCCGGCCGCCGATGAGCCTCCGACCTCACCTCCGGTGCGCGAGGGGATGGTGCCAGAGGAATGAGGCGCGGGGCGTGGTCATATGAGGTGCGGAGGGTGGTGATGCGGGGGCGTGTCCTTGCGAGGTGCGAAGGTGTGTAAGTGCGGGGGCGTGGTCCTGCGAGGTCGGAAGGGTGTGTGAGTGCGGGGGGCGTGGTCCTGCGAGGTGCGGAGGGTGTGGGAGTGCGGGGGCGTGTCCTGCGAGTGCGGAGGATTGTGGAGGACGGGGGGCGTGATCCTATGAGTGCGGAAGGTGGTCACTATCAAGAGAGAGTGAGAGTGGGCTGGATAAGTAGCCAAAGGAAATGAGTGTAAGGCAGATGTAGGGCTGTTTAATGACATAAGGGTCGAGGGAATGAAGTAGAGTGATGTGTTTGTTGCGTTGAGAGGACTGAGATGGGCTGGGGGAAGGAAGTCCGAGGAATGAGTATGGGCAGATGTGTGGGGGATGTATTTGAGTGCAATTATTATGGGTAATGCGTGTGTGGTGTAGAGATGTGCTTGGTGGGTGTTAGTATCGAGAGAAAAGAGTGTGGAGAGGGGAAGGAGCCACAGGAATGAGTGCGGGTGGAATGAGGGCGTCGTTATCAATGAGGGAATGAGAGTAGAGGTATAGTTGTGCTTAGGAGAGAGAAATGGGTGTGGGCCAGAGATACTGAGATTCTTGTGAGTATAATCATGAGTGGGGGTAGGTGTATAGATGTGTTTAGGTGGGTGTGATCAAGGTCTATATATAAGTACAGGTCTCGTCACTCAGGGACTCAAATTCGTCCGTCTTCGGCGCATGACGTCATCTGGAGCAGAGCCTGGGGTTCACCCACGCTAATCGCGTGGTCATTCTTTGATGTGAGAGAGAGCCGTAAGGATCTCTCCCTCTCTCCGTTTTCGCTCGCTTGACTGACTGGCGCGCAAAGTCACAATGCCCAGTAGTTGGTTGCAGCTTATATATGTACATTTATGTGATGTTTATGTATTGCCATTATTATATTATTATTATTATTATTATTATTATTATTATTATTATTTTATTTTGTTGTATGATTCGTTTTATAATAAATTCATCAAAAACATTCGTTACATATGCCATGTCCTTTTTTATTTATTTTACGTCTTTATTATGCCATGTCTAAGCTGCAACATATGAATTACAAAACTAAATTCACGTAGAATGTATGATATAGGCCTACAAATAATCGCTGATAATCATCGCCTGCAAAACATGTCTAATATGCAAACCGTTCAATGTGCCAACATCTGAAATTGCTCAAGTATCTGCTCATTTACTACGTTTCTATGATCTATTGTCCCACCCCTACCATGCTCTAATTCCCCCCCCCCCTTTGCTCCAGCTCTTTCCAGGTGACGTCATAGCCTTATCACCCAAAGCTGCGCAAAGAACTCCGAAGTGACGAGACCTGTACTTATATAGACCTTGGTGTGATTACCTAGAGCAGGGGTGGCCAGCCAGACATCGCGATTGACTGGTCGATCACAAGCCTCTTTTAAGTCGATCACACTACTGTACCTCTTAAAGAATTCGTCCTCGGAAGTTGTCATGCAAATAGCATATCCGAGTACTCATATCCAATACGCACTCATAGTCCAAGTACTCAATGTCCCAAGTACTCATGTCCAAGTACTCATGATACTTGGATTTTTAGATTTTTCTTTTACTGGGGAATAAGTTATATTTATTTATAATGATGGACATGTATGAACAAAAAATTCTTTATAAAGACTATATTTATGGAATAGATTTGAATCTTAAGCTTGTATCGCAATCAGGGTAACTGTTGAAGTAGATCATATTTCACAAAAAGTTGGCCACCCCTGATCTCGAGTAATGAGCGTGAAAGTTGTAGAATGAGTGACGTTCTCTGGGACTTTTTTTTATACTGATTTTCAGCCTTTAACCAGTATCCTTTTGCACACCGTTTAGATGATTTTGATTGTATATATAACTGTATCAGAGCTTTTATTCTTATTGAATATGCATATTTCTCTCCTTTCCTATCCATCTTGTCCTTTCCTCCCCTTCATTTTCCCCCTTCCTCCTATCACCTTCTCATCCCCCTCTCCCCACTACCCCATCTCCCATCCCTATCCCTTCCCCTCTCCTATCCCCCTCCCTCTCCTATCCCCCTTCCACCCCCCCTATGCCCCTTCCCCCTCCCCAACCCCCTTCCCCCTCCCCAATCCCCCTTCCCCCTCCCCAAATCCCCCTTCCCCCTCCCCAATCCCCCTTCCCCCTCCCAATCCCCCTTCCCCCCACCTCCCCTCCCTCCTATCCCCCAACCTATCCCCTCCTCCCACTCCCTCCCCCCATCCCCTCACTCCCCTTCCTCTCCCCAATCCCCCTTCCCCCTCCCTCCCCCACCCACCCAATCCCCCATCCCCTCCCCACCCACCCCTATTCCCCTTTCCCCCCTCTCCCCCCAATCCCCCTATCCCCCTTCCTTCCCCCACCCACCCAATCCCCCCATCCCTCCCCACCCCACCCCTATCCCCTTTCCCCCCCCCCTACCTACCCCCGCAGACCCACCTGGCTTGGAAGGCGACCACCTGTCCGACCCGATTCTTCAGCTGAGCAACTGCTGGCGCCCTTCTCGCCCATCCCGCCCACGTTCTTCCGCCCACGACACGAGCGGAACGGCCTGATGAACGCCTCCCTCAGCGCGTCCGATTCCCGAAGGAGGACGCATCAGCACCCTCGGGAGGTTGGCGCCCTGGTTATTTTTTTTTTTTTATTTTTTTTTTTTTAGTTTTCGATATTTTTTTCGTTTTTATTTTATTATTATTTAGTTTTCGTTTTTTCTTAGTTTTCGATATATATTTTTTTTTAGTTTGATAATTTTTTTTTTTTTTTGTTATCGATTTTTTTTTTTTTTTTTTATTTTTATTATTTTTTTAGTTTATTTATTATTTTTTTTAGTTTTCCTTTATTTGTTTATTTAGTTAGTTTTCGTTCATTTATTTACGTTAATTGATTTATCTATTTATTGTTAATTTGGTTATTTCGTTATCTGTTTATTGGTTTGTTTGTTTATTTTTGTTTATTTATTTTGTTTTACTTGTATTTTTTCTTTATTTGTATACCTATTAATTATTTGTTTGGTTATTTGCTTATTTATTTTCTTAAAATCTATTTTATGGCACTTTTTCTCGCTTATTTGTTAGAATTTAAATGGCTTTTTTAAAATCTTGTATTGAAATATGGCGGGTTTTCTCGTCTCGGAAATGGTATATAAAACAAAAATGATAATTGAAAAAAGTATATATGGCATAAAATCATGTTCTAAAAAATAGCGAATTTCTTTATTTCTGAAATCGTAAATAAAACAAATATATAGATTGATTGATTGATAGATATAATAAGTGACATAAACTAATATTACTTCCTCTTTCTCCTTCCCCTTCCTTATTTCTTCCTCCCTCCTTTCATTCCCTTTCTGCTTCTTCTTTATTTTTTTTTTTTTCATTTCCTTTCCCACTCATGTCCCTTCTTCTTCTTCTTCCTTTTTCACCTCTCCCTCTCCTCCATTCTTCCCCTTCCCTCTCCACCCTCCACTCCTTCCCTTCCCTCCCCCCCCCCCTCCCCCCCTTCCCTTCCCCCTTCCTTCCCACCCATCCCACCTTCCCTCTCCCCCTCCACTCTCCCCCTTCCCCCCCCCTCCCTCCCCTTCCCCCTTCTCCCCTCCACTCCCCCTCCTTCCCTCCCCTCCTCCCTCCCACCCTCCACTCTCCTCCCCCCTTCCCTCTCCTCCCTCCACTCTCCCCTCTCCTCCCCCTCTCCCCCACCTCCTCCCCTTCCCCCAGGCCATCGAGGTCCTGACGGCGTGGCTGACGGAGCACCGCGACCACCCGTACCCTGACGACGACCAGAAGGCGTCTCTGGTGCGGCGGACGGGACTCTCGACGCAGCAGGTGGGCCACTGGTTCACGAACGCCCGGCGCCGCCTCCTGCCGAAGCTGCGGGCGGATCTGACGAAGGAGTGAGGTCGGGGGTGTAGGGGTGGGGGGGTGAGGGAGAGGGGTTTGTGTGGGTGTGAGTGAGAGTGAGTGTGTATGTATGTGTGTATGTGTGTGTGTGAGTGTGTGTGTGAGTAGTGAGTGAGTGAGTGAGTGTGTGTGAGTGTGTGTGAGTGAGTGAGTGAGTGAGTGAGTGAGTGAGTGAGTGTGTGTGTGTGAGAGTGAATGTGTGAGTGAGTGAGTGAGTGTGTGTGTGAGTGAGTGGGTGTGAGTGAGTGAGTGTGTGTGAGAGTGAGTGTGTGTGTGTGTGGAGTGAGTGAGTGAGTGTGTGTGTGTGTGTGTGTGATTGAGGTGAGTGTGAGTGTGTGTGTGTGTGTGTGTGTGTGTGTGTGAGTGTGTGTGTGGTGAGTGTGTGTGTGGTGTGTGTGTGTGTGTGTGTGTGAGTGTGAGTGTGAGTGTGTGTGTGTTGTGTGTGTGTGTGTGTGTGTGTGTGTGTGTGTGTGTGTGTGTGTGTGAGAGTAAGCGAGAGCGAGAGTTGCCGTAGAAATGAATTTCGTGAAAGTAAACTATACACATTTTTTCTATATCTGAAAGAAGTGAATTTTGAGTTTATTTATGTAAAATGTGAATGATAATACAAAGAGAGGAAATATGTATGTAACGAAACTAAAACCGGTTAAAAGTGAATTGAATCCAAAAATATATTTGTGATAAAACCTTATATTTTTTGTCAGAATATTGGCACAGTGTTACTATAATTACATAGTACAGATGAGTTATATAATCAGGAATTTACATTACATGCATTGTTTCCTATAATTAATGAGACATTTTTTTGAGATTAGTGTAAATTTGGCAAGAGAATTTGTACTGTTTTATGGATTGGCTAATCAACGGAGTACATCTAGGTATGATTTTATTTAACCATGATTTCATTGTAAATAAATTCTTAATTTCGGAAGAATAAATGGTTCTGATTTATTACATCCTACCGCCAAATAATAATGATAAATAAATGAAAATAAAATAGATACATAAATAAAAAATAAAAACATGTTATGGTTCGGTATGAATGAAACTGCAAAAGGCAGATTGTCCATTTACAGGTGGATACTGTACACACACACACACACACACACACACACACACACACACACACACACACACACACACACACACACACACACACAACACACACACACACACACACACACACACACACACACCACACACACCACACACACACACACACACACACACACACACCACACACACACACACACACACACACACCACACCACCACAACCACACACAACACAACCACACAACCACAAACCACACACCACACACACACAACCACACACACACACACACACATATATACAAACATAAAAATACATCTTATCCTTAACAAACAAATTTGGAATATTATGACACGAAATAATCATATTTTCTTTAGTTTCCCATTAACCGTTTTCTTTGAAAAGATTCAGGATTCAGAGAAAGCCCTAATGTTATGGGAAACTATCGAAAATCACTTATTGCATTGCTTTGTTCGTGAAAAGTACCGAATGTTCCAACAGTACCTTAAATAGTATTTTGAAGTAAACACACGCACGTAATACTACGTAGACATACGCACAAACATTGGGTTATCTATCTAAGTCTACAGATTTATGTCGTTCCTTATACGGTTCGCTTTCATCAGATTCTTCTCTATCATAATCCTTTTCTGCGTCGAGTCGGCGTTTAGATCTACGACCTTCATCGCTGTCTTCATTTCTCCTCAATTAATATCTCGTTTCTCGTTGTTCTTGACGTTTCCAAAATGTCATCTTTAGGTTCCTCTTGTGAATCTTGTGTTGGTTGACACGAAGTCGGTGTCGTAGTCCAGTAAAATCATCTTAATTGCCTCTTCTTCTGTAGTTTGGAGACGTTTTCAGGAAAAGTAGTTGTTCCGTGCTCCACCTCTCCTTCAGAGAAGTCATGTGTTGCGTCTAGGTTCACCTTTGTGATGGTTTTGTCTAAAAACAACTCTTATAACACATGTTATCGTGGTTGCTTNCTGAGGTTGCAAGACGCTCCCATGGCTTCTTGGCTTAGTGACAATTAGAGGCAATAAAAGATAGATATCGAAGCCTTCTCCTTCTTCTTGCTTTGCATAATTCAAAGCCTTTTGCCTTATTTGAATACTGGTTTTGTATCCTCTCTTCTATCCGGTACAAGTAAGTTTTTTTTTTTTTTTTTTTTTTTTTTTTTTTTTTTTTTTTTTTTTTTTTTTTTTGGTGGTGGTGGTGGGGAAAAAAGTGCTGAATGTTGATTGTTTTGAAAAATTGTTATTTGGCGCGAAGTTTTTGCATCGTGTTTGAATCTATTATTTTTTTCTTCTATTCGTGTGAATTAATATTTTCACGTTTGTGTTTTTTAGATATTAGTATCAATAGTGTTGTAATATAGGGATACACTGTATCAGCCCTCATACTTGCACACACACACGGACACTCAAACACACACACACACACACACACACGGACAC